ACTTTGAGAAATTGTATGCATGTCCCTCGACGTCATCTGGATCTGGATCTTTTCATCAAGGCTTAGTTATAGACGAGTTGGAGGAGTACCTAAGTAAACCCAGAGCTGCCAGTTCGGAAGACATTTTAGAGTGGTGGAGGACGCATGAGACAGAATATCCGACTTTATCGAAGATGGCCTGTATGAAAATGCATCTGTATTTTAATTCTTAATCGAGGATAAATGTAGATGTTTATGGGCCACGGCATCCACTTACCATCAGATGGACTATGTGCTCGTTTGTCACTCCTATTCTATAATAAAATCTTTTAACATAATTTTTAATCCCTTTCTTCTTCATCACTAGACATTAAAAGTGCACTACTGGACATAAGACTCTCCAGTTGTAGGATGATTTTGTTTTCATGGTCATGTTTAGCGGACGGATTAGCGACCGCAGGCTTCTCTCACCAATGATGCTATTCCCCACTGGTTATACACCATCTATGGGAAGCTATAAGATAATCGTGGCATATCCCATTGTCTATACTATTAAGACTATTTATTACAAACTTAAAGCACGTTTAAATACAATTACGGATTTTAACACCTATGATTCGTAATCTAACAAAATTTATATATTTCATTAAATCATTCTTTATTATTTTATGAATTAATGTTACAGAAACAAAACGATCGTATTCTCTGAGAGCGTGCTTCTTCCTCGGTCGAGCCGACCTATTAGAGCAGCGTTAATGCTGCTGTGTTTCGTATGGTGAGTGTAGAGAACCGGAGACTCTTTTTAATGAAAAGGAGGCATTCCACCTTAGTCGTCAGGGGTGACAACGCATTTGCATTTTGATTTCTTAAGATCCGATGGACTGTGTGCTCGTTTATTTGTTTGTTGTTTCACCTTTATCCTATTAAAAAATACGTATAGATATAACAAACCGTGTATAAAATATTGATTCTTACTTGAGGAACTTGGTCTAAAACTATAATATTACCTATATGTAAGGCATGTGGTTTCTTTGTAAAATTTGTTTGTCAAGACAATAAGCCTTGTTAGAGCTATTGACATCTACGCAATATCCTGTCCCTACAAACAGGAAAAGTCGAGAAAACCCGCAGAGAAAATGTATGTCTAAATCTGGAAAGTTTATTTTAAACTTTGCTGTCTGACTAATCAAGGGCAAGCAGCGTTTTGTAATAAATAGTGAACTCATAATCTTGCGCATTTTACAATGGTTGTTCATTGAGTAAATTATTATTAAGTTTGCTGTAGAAATTATTGATCTATTGGCTCAACCTGTGTTGATAAGTAGGCAGTCTTTTCTCGTCTGAAATTAGTATAGCAATTCAGCGAGGAAACTTGCTTCCGGGGCCAGTGAATTAAAAACTACATAGACGCAGATTTAATCATATTTAAAAATTTAAATAATTTTAATGATCCTCAATTGATCACCAGAAGAGACCTTATTTTTTAATGTTATTCATATTGGTCAATTTAAAGGACCTGACCTTAATCCTCACGTTAGGCAGATTATTTGGAACTGTTACAGATTTACTGTTAGATATTTTATAGCTATGTACCTGTAATCGAAATAATTCAAAATCGGGGATATGTCAGAATCGGCAATTAATTGAAAAAATCTCGAATTAAACTACTTTTATCGCATTTAATTGTACTAATTTTAATTCTTGAATCAATCGCTTCAGTCCCCTGTGACCTTGTGTGCTGAAAGTACCCTAAACGTTGAGAATTAAGAATAAGTACAATTGAACGCGATAAAATCCGTAAAAGTAGTTTTATTCAACGTGTAGTGTTCGCGTATATAATAAGTAATCATTATAAAAAGTCTGTAAAAAGTAAATTAATTAAGTAATGTTTCTGCAAAGTGAGAAAATTTCTGCAGCCAAATTTAGACGTGGTAGAGTCATGCTGCAGCTATATTAATAGTATAGTTATAGCAAGGATGGGTCGCCTCGACCGGGGAAGGACTACGCTCTCACAGAATACCAGCGTAAAATAGCAGCTTAATGCTGCTGTGTTCGTATGGAGAGTGTTTTACTGGAAACGAAGCATTCCACCCTAATCCTCACGGGTGACAAAACATCTGCATTTTGATTCGTAGTCGCGGATAGATGTAGATGTCTATGGACCACAGCATCCACTTACCATCAGGTGGACTGTGTGCTCGTTTAACATTCTTAAGCTATAAAAAAGCGATAATTCATATTAATAATTAATAGTGTGTATGGTGTGGAAAATAATCCGATTACCTTGATGGATGTTATAACTGTGAACTAAAAAAAACTAGGGGAAAATTAAGAGACATCCCATATATGACAGAATTTCTCAAGAAAAATATTAACTTTTTTATATTCCCGACGTTTCGAGCACTCAGCACTCATGGTCACGGGGGGGGCACTAGATATACCTATCAAAGTTCACTGCTGAACATAGGCTGAAAATTGCGTTCTTAGGAGGGTATTAGCTTTAGTTTTATATAGATCGCTATAGGGTTGGTGACCGTAATTTTTATTTCCAGGTTGTTATTAAGAAGACACTGCTGCCATGTTTGTATCCTCCTGTCTTCTTACGGTATATCAAGAGGACGAGGTGCATGAATATACAATAGTTCTTTTTTTGTTTTATTTAAAATTATTTCTCATCTATGTACGATCTAATTTTGAAGAAAATTTTTGGCTTTAGTTCTCAAAGACAAGTTTTTATTATCGTTTCTGTCTTGTAATACATTAATCACTGGAGACGCCGCATGTTCAAGGCTACGTCAGTATTGCTTCTCAGACGATTAGTCAACAAAAATATTATGAAAAACATTCCATAATAATAATAATAATTATCACTCACTACTACGTACCTAAACTATTGAGTGTAATTGTTAACTTTATCATAAACAGCAAGTATTAATTTACTTGTAAGTTATAAGTTAACTTATGACGTTATTATTTTTCATGTTTTTAAAGAAAAAATCGAGCGTCGCTATTAATGACGTAATATTTTGATTTTTATTTTGTTTATGTTGTTATCTCGCTCTTTTTATTTATTATCATACGTGAACGAGCGACGCGGAAGAAGATGGCAGCAAAGAGGACGACAATACGTCTACGGTGTATTGCTTTCTTTGCCTTGTAAGTAGGTTACTTCTGTTATGTCAGGTGTGGCATAGCTAGAGCTGCCAAGTGTGATAGGAAACCATTTTAGTGTGATAATTTATAAGCATAGATAATAAAGCAATTACTTGTCAAAATTTACCACCAATAATACTTGTAAAAATAATATTTTGCATATGATAAAACAATTAATCTGTTTAGGTCGTTCAAGACTGAGAAGGGTAAGAAAACATACAATTAGAAATAACTTAAGATAAATATTGTTGCGTGCTTAAGTTGACGTCTGGTACCTGGCACTAGCGCAATCTAGTGTCAGGGAATAGAGCGAGGAGGGCTTTCTAGAAAATTCCATTCCTGACTTTTCCACCAACAGCGCCATCTAATATCGAATGGAAGAACTAAGCTTTCTAGAAAGCCCCGCACTCGAACTTTCTGCCCCTGGTCGGTCGGGGCTGGTATTTGCTTAAATATTCTGGATGTTTCTGTGGAAAAGGCCTATTTAAAGCCGTTGAGAGCCGCGATCGGTGGAGTATTGAATTGGTGATACGAGCGAAGCTTTCGTAGTGAAATAAAGTGGACTAAAGTTTTAAGTGTGAATAATTATTCGTGTGATTTAAGTTTTGATTGGTGTCCAGTAATTAAAGTGTCACTTTGGTAATTCAATTGGCAGTTTTTAGTGTCACGAACTCGAAGCTCGTAACAATATATTAAATTAAAATATAAATACACACAACAAAAGATATCAATTAAAAACAAATTAAAAACATATATATTATATCTGTTTATGTACGTTCCATTGCTGGGTACATTTGCTCTTAAAACTACGCCCTAGTAATGCTTACCGTTACCGTTACAGCTTATTAAAGTTCACTACAGAACATAGGCGTCCCCTATAGATTGTCTTATAAGGGGATATTTGCCACGGTTGCCACGCCTGGAAAGCCGGTTGGAACCGCAGTTTTTTTATTTTTAGTCGTTATTAAGAAGACGATGCAGCCCATTTCCTGATTTGTTTCCCTCTGTCGCCTCTTACGACACCCACGGGGAAATATTGGGCACCGGCACTACATGGTTAGTAATACTTATACCAAGATATTTATCGGATTTTTTTGCTATTATAATAATTGAAAATTTAAAAGAACTATTAATTTAAAGTTAAATTCTCGTCGCCATCAATTATATTGTTAATTGCAATTATAAGCGCTGATTTATTACGTGCTTGGCTGGAAAAGAAAACACCGTGAGGAAACCAGATCGTACTGAGCAATAAAAATTTTTGAGGACATTTGAAGTCCGCTAACGTGTAATGGAGCAGCGACGTGGATTAATTGAAAATGAAAAAAAAAAACTTATCTATTTCTCACCACAAAACCACAAAACTGTTTCAACTCTTAACTTATTACCTATTGTCTTAACTCTTAACTTAATACCTATTATAACAAAAATGTTTGTGGATCGTTGGTGCCAGAAGTAGGTAATTAAAACCTGAGTTACAAGTTGCCAAGCCTCCATTCTTAACCGTTAATCACTGTAGCTTTTAAGGTAAAAATTTAAAAATATAGATGTGGGTGCGAGAGATTTAGTGATTGCGTGCGCAACTGACCTATAACTTTTTCAGAAATGAGAGGAGACCCGTGCCCTGCACCCTGTAACTACATGAAGTATTTCTATTGCCTGTAAACAATGGTTCTAGGTCTTATAATCTACGTGCAATAAATGTAAACGCCGCGCGTAACTTCCTAGAGTAAGGGGTCACTTAAAAAATAAAAGTCTCAAGTACTGTCGTGCCACTATGAATATAACTTCGCTTAAATTTCTCTACAGTTCGATCCGTTCAAAGGAACTTATTATTTTTCGTAACAGCTCTATAGATTTCCTCTCACATGATTATGCGGAGTGTGTTGGCGCGATTAGCACACTTGCGTCTATCGGCCCAGCTGGCTGCCAGTACCCGATCGCAACACACGGTGAGTGCCTGCGCACACTCCGCACGGCACTACACGCGAATGCAGCGATGCACGTGCGTAAATTCGCCGTCGACAAATTCGATCTAGTAAGATCCGTTTTAGACGTTTACAATTGATAAATCAAATCTATTCTAGAAATATCGCGTGTGATTGTGTGTGTGGACTTTGCGACGGTAGGTTGGGTTTTGTTATTTAGTCTTTTCATAAAGTTGTATCAATTTATCCTAAAATTCTATAGTAAAAACCTTATACAAAATGGTCATGTAAGTTTAAATATGCCGTCCAAGTTTATTTTTACAAAATTTATTTTGATCCTGTGGATAAAGTTACCTTACACAGTTTCAAGACATTAGGTGTCAAATGCAATCGTTACTATTTTTTTTTCTTATAATTTATAAGTTACAATTTAATAAACAATTCACCGTTTTATAAGAGATTAATGTAAGCTCATGTACATTTGCGTATACTTCTTGTTTTTTATAAAATAAGGGTGACAAAAGAACACACAGTCCATCTAATGGTACCACTTACCATCAGGTGTCCTGTGTGCTCTTTTGAGCTGCGGCCAATCAAAATGCAGATGCGTTTCCAGCTCTGAGGACTGAGATGGAATGCCTCGTTTCCAGTAAAAATGGTCTCCGGTTCTCTACACTCACCATACGAAACACAGCAGCATTAAAGTGGTATTTTACGCTGGTATTCTGTGAGAGCGTGGTCCTACCCCGGTCGAGCCGATCCATTATTGCTGCAACCACAATATAGCTGCAGCATGGCTCAACCACGTAAAAAACACAACATACACAAATAACGAAATCGGTCTGAATACATGCGTGTTTGCCCTTGAGGACTAAGATAGGATTGAAGAATGATCAAATACTTCAGCCTGTATCTATCAAGACTCCCTTATCTTTAAAATTGGCACACAGCAATGACCGCACTGCTGCTTGGTGTTAAAAATAGATTCGAAATTAGTTATCAACCAGCGCTAAAACTTTTACATAAAGTTTTTGACTGATAAATAAATTAACCCCCGACTCATGTCCTACTCCATTTTAGTAACATATACTTGATAAACTACGAATATCATTTCCCTCTTTAAAAAATAACAAAATCATTTGCGTTATTACAAATACTGATAAAACTTTATATATTTCTTTTATATACTTGAATTTGCGTAAGACAGTAAGACAGTTTATTAAATTAGCTATTTACTAGTCCCAAAATTAATTATCGTCATTCTTTATTCTTGTTAAAAAAATTATTCTTGTTAAAACTTCATAGATCCGATTTCTACATTGCAAAACTTTACACACTAATCTATTTTGAGTTTTATATTCAAATATTATTTTCCACTTATTCCTTTAGTCATACATGATCTAAGGCTGTTTTTTTTAAATTAACTAAGCAATAATTATAAAACAAAAAGCTTATCCAGCATGTCCGGCTTTATTACTACTGTATCTCATAATTAGCGTCGATGACCTCGATGAAAAATCACACGGTAATTAAACAGCGTACTCGTATCAACGCGTCCGTACTGTTTCAAATTATATATTCGATGTAAATATATCGTGAAATCAAACCTTTGAGATATGTAAAGGTTCGAAATCGGAGATTACAAAAATTTTCTAGTATTTCATTTTTCTTGAAGTAAACTCACGGAAAGAGATAGGGATGGTGGGACAGGGGCCAACAGAAACACGAATGAATAAATTATTAATTACAATTTTAATCGTTGATTTGAAACATGTTCGGCAGTGATGAAAACATTGCATAGGATACATGCATAGGATTCAAGCGATGGCTGTTCCTAGCAGTACAACGTATAAGGATCGTAAATTTTTTTGCATACTGCAATGCCAGCTTTTCATCTAGCACTGGGTTTAGTTGCCTACAGTCTCCCCGTGTCCGAGTTTTCATTACTTATCAGTTCATTACAGCCTATCATAAGTCTACTGCGGAACCTCATTCTCATTCCTCATAGCTTGCCACAAAGCAGTTAAAGCATTGCCACAAGGGAAGATAAATGCTATGTTTTTTATTATTATTCACCTATTATTAGAACAATGTTGCGGCCATCTTCTTGTACAGTTTTCCTCTGTCGTCTCTTAAAATACTCACGGCAGTTTTAGCTTATCAAATTTTAGTTAACCTTCCGATATAGAGCCATTATTATTACATAATTTATTAATTTAGTAATAAATTACACACTTGAGAATGTACAAGTAGGTTTAAAATAAAAATAAAAGTAATTTCTTTTTTTACCCTTTTTATTGTAATATAGAATATTATAATCTCAATATCGTCTAAAGAGTTACATAAAAAAAAATTCATCTCCCATTTTGCCATCATTAGTGGTTATATTTTCCTTGGTCGCAGACTTATTCGTAGAGGTGACAGTAAAATGCGAAAAAGCAAAATTAACAACGAAATTATTGTTTAATATCCATTACCCTAGACCCGTAAGTGCGCAATGTAAGAGCTGAATATGGTCAAATCCAGGAAGATATAGATAGCGGTATAAAATCTCGTAAACTATCAAGTCTGGCGACAGGGAGCAGAATCAAAGAAGCGAGATGTCTGGTAATGCGATCTTAAATTTGCCCACCAAGCGTGAAATTATAACAAATTTTTGCAGTAGTGGAATTTATAAGCTTATGTTAAAGAGGAATAATTCATAAATCCATGTCTAAAATCAACCTAATCTTAGCTAGTATTTATTACACATTTAAAATAAATAATTGTGTTTTTGTTACTGATAGCGTTGAAATCTTTTGTATGGAGGAGTGAACCTAACAGTATTTTCATGGATATAACTGAGGAAATACTTAATGTTTTTTGTTATTGATTTTTTTTATTGACGGATATTTAATTTAAAATAATAAATAAACCAATTTAATGATTTGTCATATTTAAGCGTATACTACACATTAATTAAATAAAACTAATTTTACCGCTTGTATCGCGTTAATTTTAACATTTTTCATTCCCGATGTTTCGGACGCTTTACAGCACTTTAACCTACGATAATTTTTTGACTATTGATTATAGATGTCATAGTAGATCGTACCGTCATCACATCAGATATACTAAAAATTCTTGCAAAAAGTACATCGAAGATCCTACCAAAGATGATTCCCGTTACCTTCGGTTTAGTAAAGGGCTCGAAATATCGGGGATAAAAAATTCAAAATTAAACGAGGTGAAATAAGGTGAAATAATTGTTAATATTGTATCAACACTGATAAATGGGTAACACAGTGATATTCCGAAAAAATATTTTTATCTACGACAAGAGAAGGCAAACTCTTTCGTGTTCCAAAAAAAAAAGTCAAGCGAAGTCCGTGCCCATTTCGTTAGGCTATTATTTTTACAGTTCAGTTCTGTTATCAACCCTGCTAAGCATGTCGACTAAGGCAAAATCCCCCTTACGTGAAAATATTACGAAAGACAGTGAACGGTAATAGGCAGTAATGGATAGATAGATAATGGATATAACATAATTGTAAATTGAATTTTAAGAAACCTGTTGAGTTTATTACTTATTTTTTCTAGGGGAGATATTTGCTCAAACAGTGGTTAATTGCTTTAAAGAAAGATTGTCACTCACTACGTTTATAATCTTTATTATGTTATTTAATTTATTTCCTTATAAAACAATATATTCTAGAGTAAGGGTAATTTTATGAAAATTAAAAAACACTACCGTTACCGGTATAACCTACCAAAAGTGAACTGCTGAATATAGACCCAATATTTTGCCTCATTTGCAATAGTTGCCACACTTGGCAAGCCGCTTGGCAACCGTAGTGAAAAAAGGAATAGAAAAAATATATCATTTACACAAAATTTGTTTGTTTAGTCGGAAGAAATATCCCGACCCTAAGGTCGTTTATTGAGACTAAGTAACTAATCTAACACACGATCTCTACCTTTCCAATTTTGTTGAAATATACTTTGTGTTGAATAAATTGACCTCTAACGTTGTGATATTTCCCTATAACCTATCTGTAGTTGCTTAGGTTGTACAGTACGATGGTAAAAATACATATTCATAAGCTACAATGCAGCTATATAATGGCTGTAGCACGAATGAGTCGACTCGAGTGGGGAAGAAGCACGCTCTCAGACTCCCAGCGTGAAATTGTTTCGTTTGGTTAGTGTGGAGAACCGGAGGAATACCATCTTAGTCAAGGTGGACATTGTGCTCAATTGTCACCCTTATTCTATATATAATGAGTATTGAAATAAATTATATTACTGTGATTGTGTACTAACAAGTACAGTGTTGAGAACACTGTTTTACCCTGCTCCCCCTAGATGTAATGACGACTTGATGAAACACGCAGAAAGTCGATGGATGCACGTGGACCAGGATCAGGCTTTGTGGCAATTTATGGGGAGGCCTATGTTCAGCAGTGGATTTGTGATGGACTGTAATAATTATGTTGGTAAAAAATTGAGAGAAGATAGATAATATCACAATAATATCTTATATTACCCATTCGCGTTGCCTATGGTTATGGTACCTCTCTTACTACCTGCATATATTACGGGTTTAAATTCCAGCTGAATGAAACATATGTTTGAAAATACAAATTATTGATTAGGTCTCGTTGGGCATAACTTGTATACAATTTTGTCATGTGTTTTAGTTTTTTCTTTAAATTTATTGACAAGTTATACACACGGATATAAAGGAATACAGTTCTTAACTTGTTATATAATAAGTATAACGCTATGTAGTTCGACATGACATCTGTATGTAATATTTAAGAATATAATAAAGAGAAGTTCATACTAAAATGTAATTAAAAAGAACATTGTATTTAGAAATCATCAGATACCTTAACATTGTTTATAAGAAGGACAATAATTATGGGTTATTAAATACTAGCATGAAGTCGTGCTTCTAAGAGTGAAAAATCAAGTAATGGCTAAATAATTGCTATCTTGTGATTTGTTACACATATTTAAATTTTATCCTAATTTTTATGTGGAAAATATCGGTATATTGCTATTCAAACATAATAGGCCATTATATTGTCCAGTTAGTTCTCCAGCTAGCTACTAAAAAGTATATTGATTAGGAATTTATTTATGGTGAGAGGAACGGATAATTTATATTTTATGAGGAACTCTGAAGAGATCATTTCACCGTATACAATTCTAT